TCTCTCTGTTTTGCTTCCTCTCACCATGTGATCTGCTTGTACCCACCAGCTGCCTGCTACCTTCTGCCATGAGTAGAAGCAGCCTGAGGCCCACGCCAGATGCAGCTGTCCCAGAATCGTAAGCCAAATAAACCTCTTTCCTTTATAAATTACCCAGTCTCGGGTATTTCTGTTATAGCAACACAAAACGGACTAAAACAGACACCAATTCGTCTGATAAGCTCGGGCATTGATCCTGAGAATATGAATTTTAAAAATGTCTCCCATCTCTAAAGGTATATACCAATGGCCCAGAGGGGTTGAGCCAAAGAATCAATTTTCATCTACACTAAAACTGCCTGGATTACAATAAACAATTACAACTTCTCCATCCATTCTGGATCTTTGGATCATATAATCTGTAATAATTTGGAAGCATTTAATTACAAAAAAAGTTGGAGAACTAAGAATTTGTGGAGAAAGTTATTACCAAGAGAGTGGTACTCACCACATTAGTTCAAACCAAATTCTGGCACCAATTTTATCCAAGACTTGGATAATGAATGAACTTTTTGGAGGCACTGTGGTTAGGGATTTCCTCCCATGGGTGCTGTGAAACAGAATTAGTCACGATAGTGTGCCATAAAGAGAGTTTTCAATAAAATGTATACAAAGTTCATAAGGTAGAGAAAATTACTATGTGATATAAACCAGAGTAAAGAGAGCCAACGTGGTTTAAAATAGTATTCAAATGCTTTGGATTTCATTATTACAGAATTGCAGATAACAGTTTACTTTCCAAACCTACCACTGCTGTGCCATATTTTATTGGTGATATTGACTGAAACATAAAATCTCTGAGTCTTATAAAGAACCTATAGTTATTTAACGATAGCCAGTGGGGGAAAAAACATAAAAATACTTCCCCTCTTCCATAAGGTAATGCATTATATTAAAAATAACTGAACAAAGGAGACTGCTTTTGGCCTGAAGTTATATTGGTTCTTTGTTTTTTCTTTTTCTTTTCTTTTTTTTTTTCTTTTCTTTTTCTCTGACAACAACTGTTACTATTTGGCAGGGACCTTGATTGGGGAAAAGGAAAGAAGACCAGAACAACAGGTGGGGATTTCACTGCCTTGTGTTTAGCTTGCACCCCCACCATTCCCTCTCCCCAACCCCGAACTGTAGTGATATGAGCAAGGCTTCAATTTCTGGGTATTAGCACACTAACTGGCCATCACAGAACCATTACCAGGATGTCCCAAACTTACCTAATATAGAATATCTGTAACACCTTTAAATCACAACTCTGCACAAAATTCTTATATGGAACTGGAACTAATCTGCAATGGAATTCTTACAAGTAGCACCTGTATTTGTACCCTACTCCTTTCAGTGCCTCTGACTATAAGATAGAATCATCTGCTAGTGCCAAATTTATACTATTATCACAGCTCACCTTTTCTGAACAAAGTTGGCCTAAAACAAAGCAGACTGCTAAATAGTACTCCACCTTTCCTGAAATGATAAATAAAAATCATCAGACAATTTAAAATACATTGAGATCATCATAACATTAAGGAGAATTGATTTTCACACTCCTCCACAAAGCAGTATGCCTGGAATGAAACGAATATTACTTTATGGGTTTGTCTTAAAGGAAGAAACGTTAACATTTCTTTCTTTTATGCTTTTCTGGTTTTCACAATTGACATAGATTATACAGAGAACTTATTTTTGTTTGGAATCGTAGCAAACTAGGAAGTTCAAATGCCCAGAAGTTTTCATATCTGCTATTAATTCAGTAGCCACATCCAGCCTCATCACCAGCAAAGTGTGTAAGAGCTAGTCACAGTCCCTTTCTGGGTCTCAGTTTTTTTCTCCTTCTTCCTGCCTTTACTGACAGAAGCCTTTAACTGGTGCCATGGCAGTGGCCTCACTCCCTGTTCCTTTCCTTCAGTTATTTTCACCGGTTCCCATTTGTCACTGCAAAAATAATTTTTTTTAATTGCTCAAAATCTCCAGTGCAGGTCATCAATTTTTATTAGGCCTGATTAAATGATTGCTAGAAATATTTGAATATCAGAAGTAAATATTAGTAATTATTACCAGAAGCTAAGAATCACAGAGCAAGATGCCATTTATATCCTAAAGTCTTCCAAATGCCCTCATTTCCCTCATCCTCTGTCCTTCTGCCTATATTAGCAGGCATATCAACTCTAACTATTTAAGTCTCAATTTTTGACCCTTCCTACCCATTTCCACTCCCCTCACTCCTCAAAATATGAGGTTATCAGCATATTCAGAGCATAACCAATAGAATCAATAGACAATAGCATAAATTTGGCACTAGCAGATGATTCTACCTTACAGTCAGAGGCATTGTTACTGCCTTACTTACCCTAAGCATTGTTCTGGTAACCAATTATTTATCTACTGAAAGCGAGGCTGGATTCCCAGTCATGGGTGGCCTTCTCTCAAGCTCCAAATTTTCAGTACCAGCATTCACAAACACATTATAGGATTTTTTTCCTCCCCCTTAAGAAGACCAAGAACAGACTACATATGATGACCATACACACAGACAAAAGGCAACTACACAATTAGGCCTTGACCAAACCACAGCAAATTCAACAATTCTCACTGTATTTTCCCTCAAAGGGAATTGAATAGATCAAGCCTTAGCTAAGCCTGGCCTGAGTGTTGCTGTGAGGCATCTTCCCAATACTCTCTAACTTACAGAGAGTACACATTCTGAATGGTTTAACTGATTGTTCCAATAGGGCTTTCATTGCTATCTCTGATTGGCAGGAGATGCTTTAGAATTTAGAAGCCATCAAGTTTGTTAGCTGAACTCATCCTTCTCAGCAAGACTGCAACTTTTTATCTGTTAACAAGGCAAAGGGATTTATAATCTATGTTGACACGGTATGTTGTTTGGAATTTTGTTCTGAAAAATAAACATGTTGCAAAGTCACTGGTTAATCTGGATCTTAGGTTATTATTGTTGTCTTCATATTAGTCAAGGAAAAAGAAAGGTAGTATAATTTGGTAAGGTAGCAAAGTGAATAACTCCACCAAGTTCTAAAATATTCTAACCTTTGGATTTTCTCAGTCTTTTTTTCACACTGAAATAATGATAAATTATATTCCTCTATTTCCTAAAACAAAGTAACTAAAATACACTGCTTATCAATTCAACAAGATCTTTCTTCTTAAAAAGCTTGAAAATATTCAGGATATACAAAAAGAGAGTTTTAAGGAAATATGTTGCATTTGTATGGCAAACAGCAATCGATTTCACATATAATAGCAAATTCAATTTATAACATCTTTAGTTTTTCATCCAAACATGATTCTTCCTTTATGGGCAAGTTCATGAATTATTCAACATAGCAAACGTCACATTCTACCTAAATCAATTAAGCATCAAAGGCATGTTCTGTAAAGTTTTACTAGAAGAAGCTTCATCATAACAGAAGCCACCTTAGCTCACAATCAGCTGTAAACCAAAAAAATATAAAGCTAGCCAAAAGAGTTTCTAAATTGTTCTACCCTATGATTTTAAATCAGTTATTTAGGAGAACTGCTTTTACATGAAACAACAGCCTGAAAATCCTGTACCTCTTCCATGGAAACAGTATTATTACCAAAACAATAGAAATTCTTGTTTTTACCATTCAACACAACAATCCTTTCTCAGCACTTCAGAGTTGAAGTCTAACTTCTTTCCCCAAACACTCAAAGCATCAGTGTTTCCACTGAAGTTTGTTATCCTATCCCCCCACCACCAAACGCCGAAATCAAATCTTTCTCAAACAGACTTACCCCAAGAAAGAGTGTACTAGATGAGAGAGTGTGCTCATGCCTGTAGACAATTAGCTAATAAACATGTAAACGGGCAACTAGCACTTTGGAAGTGCATATTTTTATCTTTTTTTTTTTTTTTTTTTTTTTTTTTTTAAAAGGGAAAGGTTAGCTTAGCCCAAAGCAGCAGACTCTGGGCTGCCGTAGCAGCTCCTCACTGCAAACCGCTCATTCTGAAAATGTGAGCTTATTTACATTTATCTCTTTCCCTTTGTTAACGACTGGCACTCTTGAATGCGTAGCCGGCATGCCTTTAACAAACAGGACACAAGAAAAGGCCCAAAGTCCGGGCTGGAGCCGAGGGCCGGGGAACTGTTAGGGGTCTCGATAGGAAATGCTTTTCATTGGATAAAGAGGCATTATTAGGAGCCGAGATCCCGCCCAGTCCCCTGTGCTCCATCGTTCCCTTAGTCACCAATCACTGGACTGAAGAAGTTTTTCCTTAAAGAGCATTGCGAGGAAAAGTAGTTTCACAGTCAAGAATGAGTGGCTTTAGTGCCACTTAACAATATAAAAAGCGCCTTTCCTGGCCAACTAATCCATAGAGAAAGCCCGTGTGCTTGTCTTTGCTGCAGGACCGCTACCCCTTACAATTCTAATAAGGAGGAGGAGGAGGAGACAAAACTTCAAACTGGGAGGAGTGTTTCAATCATGAGCAGCCCATGTTTGCTCCTACTTCATTAAAATAATTACAACAATATTGATAATAATAAATAGAGGGCAGGGAAAAGGCAAAAGTGAAAGGTACCATAAATACATTCATATTAAACTATGCAAAATTAAACCTTCCACCAGCAGACACACACAAAAATAAAATTCAACACCATGCTCACTTACTTGAGCCAGTGACAGTGCCCTCAGATGGAGATGTGCTGGGGTCCCAGAGCTCTAACGCCCACCTTTCATGGACTAGGGAACGCTCTGTGGCAAAAGGAGGGTCTCCACTTCTCTTAAATAACTGTCTGGCAGGAAATCTAATTACCATTAAATTTTCAGAGGTTTGCTAAAAACAAAAATAAATACTACAAATGCAATCTTTTTGTAATGAAGAATTATCTTCAACTGTATACCTCCCTCCCACCCTTCATCCCTCTACGCCCCCGCCCAAGGTTTTTTTCCCTATAGGTTGACTGCCTTAGGCACTCACACTGATTTTTTTCACTCCCTCTCCCTGATCTGAATTTGTTGCAGAAACTCACTCATCCGTCTGTAACTTCATTGCTAGCCCTTCCCCTCCACCAGCCCCCACTGCCCTTCTCTCCTCTACCTCCACTCACAGCCAACACCACCATCAACAGCAATCCCTCCCCCTTCTCCGGAATGAAACTCTCTGGCCAGGGATAAGGTGCTTTCTTTCTCTGCGCAGAGACATGCCCCTGGAGAATTGGGTGATCCTCTGCCTGCTTCAAATCTTCCATGTGTGTAATTAAGCTACTTTCCATCCAAATAGAACATGTTTCACGTGTTTATTCTCCCTCTTCAGCTCAATTGTGGCTATTCTCACTAACAGTCAAGGCCAGTAAACAAGTCAGTGTGAAGCTGACACTAGCCTTATTACTTGTCACTGACTCTAGAAAACACTTTTTCTGTTGCTTCCCCTCCCCACCTCCCACCCCGATGTCTGCTCTTTCTGTTCCCCTCTCTGCTTGTCTCAGGTATGTCTGTTACTGTCGGTTGCTGACATTGGCTGTGTCTTTAGGAGTGGTCTTTCACCTACTCTGGGCCTAGAGTACCCCTTGGAATATTTCTCAATCCGCAAGAGAAAGATACAGTCATTGCCTGGCGGAACTTCACAGTCCGGGCTAAGAACACAAAGACACATGAAACAGTGAGATACCAAATGTAAATTGTGAAAAATACTAAAGCAGTTCTATGGAGAATGAGTTTTGTAATGGGTCAGAGAATAGACATACAGTCCTACACATCGGACCAGGAGGGCTTCCCAGAAAAGGTGAGGTTTTAGCTAGACATTGATGGATGATTAGGGTTTACATAAGCCAAGAAGATAAGGGGATAGTTTTCTAGGTGGTAAGAACCAACTGATGAAATGCAGGAGGTGTGAAGTGAGAGAAGGTGAGAAGAAGACTGGTTTGTCAAGAGGAAAAAAGGGCTAAGGAGAAGAGCCTTTTGAGGGACCGTTCTATTGTAGCAACTCAATGCACTATAGTGATTGAAACGTTAACCTGCAGTCATGTTCACTATCTGTCTGTATATCCAGTTTACTATGTTTCTCCTATTTGGATTAATATCCCTGCCTTCTGAATCATCTGCCCTCATTTCTCCCTAAGGGACTCAAGTACCTTTCCAATTAATCTCACAAATCACACCTTAGCATGTCTTTTAGCATTTCACTGGGTGGCATGCCCTTCTAGCATCACTCTTACTCTATCTGAGCTCACTGACCCTCTTTTGGCTCCTACAATGAGATATGATCTCTCATACCATGGGCATTTCCAAGTGCAGTTTCCTCTGCCTGGAACCCTCTCCCTCCTCCCTAATCTTCCCTTCACCAATTTATTGCTTACTCTTCCTTCAGATCTCATCCCAGTAATCATGCTTTCAGGGAACCCTCCCTTAACCCCTGCTTTAGGTCACGTCAGGTATAATTTTACATGATGTTGTAATTTATTTGTGTAATAATTTGATTAACATTGGTCTCTCCCAAGTGTAAACTCCAAGAGGATGATAAGGTCCATATATACTTAATCCAAAACTGATATTAGTGGTGTTCACAAAAATTCTTCTCCCTGAACTTCTCTCTTGACAATCAAGGCAACAGAGTGACATTTTTTACTTCTTGGCTGAAAACGTACCATTTCATCCATTTGCAGACAAATTCACATCAAGGTGTTATTTTAGACCAAAGAGTACATACACATGAAAAAAAAAGTCCCATGGACAAGAAAGTGCTAAAGCTTATTCACTATCATCCCCTTTTCGCTTCACCTCACTCCTTGCTGCAAACCTGCTGGTTTTGTGTGCTCTAATATTTGCAAGGGGGAAGGGAGAAAATGAAATCTTTTCCAGGATATTCTCCAAAAAAGCCAGTTTATAGCCACACAACTTAACCCAAAATATCCTTTAAAATAAGGCCTTCATTGACTTGTTGCTGATGTCTGTGCCACAAGGGGGGAGGGTAGGGGTGAGGCAGGAATGAAAAAGTGCATTCAGAACGATCTGGGGGAGTATACATTTCCTTTTTATCTGTTTGAAAAGAAAGTAACTGAAATATGACTAACTTCCAACTGGTAATTTACACACTTGAATAAAAACAGCCAGATGCTTGGGACCTTCTCACTCCAAACCCAATTAATTTTTCTTTCTGCCAACAATATCAAAGGACTGGGTGAATTCACCCCAAGTGCCAGCAGCTCAACACTGTGCTAGTTTCCCTAGAAACAGCACAAATACAACTAAAGGATCTTAACTATGCCTGTGGATTAAAGTCCAGCTAACAGTTTTGGAAACTCTTGTAGTCTCTAAATGAACACAGTGCCTGTGTAAACCTGGACAGTGTTTTAGGGAAGAGGAGCCAATTAATTACTAACTTTGCATTAATTAGCAGATGTCTTAAAGCCTTTCAGAAAATAAAGAAAGGAGATCTTGAATCCTACAGGCTTCCTTTTATTATACAGTTTCCTTTTGCTTCAATGGGAGGAGGGGATCACAGGTCAGGTTCCCAACCAGTTCGTTTAGGACACTACAGTTCTGACAGGGTAGAAAACATTTTTCTCAAGCACAGTCCCTAAAAGATTTTTAGCTCATCTTTCACATTGGAGCACTGCCACCTCCTAGCAATTTCGCAAACAACTGGGCTTTCCTTCTCACGAACTGAACATGCTTAGATAATAACAAGTGTCCATTACTAGAGGAAGGGTTAGTAGTTAGAAAAAATGAAATTTTTAGCCAAGAGCTTTGGAGAGAGCCCAGCAGCCTTGAATGCCTGGTATAGTTTAGAAAAATTTCAAGGTAATAATAAAAGTAATGACAATAGAAAACATATCCTGACCATATTATATGACAGGCAATAATCTAAGTGCTTTACCTATGTTTATTTACCTAATCTACAAAACAATCCCATGGTGCAGTTACCATTATTCCTATTTTATACTTTAGAAAACTCAGGCACAGAAAGGTTAAGTAACTTGCTCAAACTCACACAGCTAATAATTCGTCCACTGATTCTGATAATTTCTGGACTAAGAATCATAATCACATCTCCCTTTGATAGGGTCCTCAGAACTTTGTCCAAATCATCTTGTTCATCGGCAAATATAAGGATTGTGCCTTTTGTGATGCAAACTGCTCACTAGAAATCAACAAATCTAACTTTTGAACTGTTCAAAGGTTTTAAAATCTCTAGATCTGTTAACATAAGACTTAGAATCGCAGACTGATTCTCAAAGGCATGGGGAGAAAGTGGCTTACCTAAGACAACAAAGCTAATAAACAGCACAGCTAAGTCAAAATGCAAGTGTTTTGGAATTATGTTAGTATAATTATGTAAGTATAATCTGAAATTGATTTTGATAAGTTAAGCTGTATATTGGAAACCCAAGAGCAACAACTAAAAAGAGGTACACTAGAAAATAGCCACTCAGGACAATGAGAGGGACACAGAACAAAAGTAATCATACAACATATAGAAAACAAAAATCAAAATGATATACAAAAATGAAATCATGTCAATAATAACATTAAATATGATTGATTACATAATTGAACCAAAAGGCACAGATTGCAAGCCTGAACAAAAAAACAAGATCAAACTATATTCTGTCTATAAGACATAAACTTTAGATTCAAAGACACAAATAGGTTGAAGGTTAAAGAATGGGAAAAGATATAGCTTAAAACAATAACCAAAAGAAGGAAGTAGAGTGGCTATACTAAAATTGGGCAAAGTGGATTTTAAAATAAGTACCTGTTGCTAAGAATAGAGAGGGACATTTTACAATGATAAAATAGTAAACCCATCAGGAAGTTTTTATGAGTTTATATACATATATATAGAGAGAGATATAGATATAGATATAGATATAGATATATATGCACCCATACACAAAGGCACAAAATACATGAAGCAACAACTTACATAACTGAAGGGAGAAACAGACAGTTCAACAATAATAGTTGGAGACATCATACTCCACTTTCAATAACAGATAGAACATCTATACAGAAAGTCAAGAAGGATATATAATAATTGAACAGCAGTATACACCAACTGGATCTAACAGACATCTATAGAAAACTTCATCCAACAGCAGCAGACTATAT